TAAAACTTCGTCTATACTCTAATAAAAAGTTCCCCAGACCAAAGAGGTCACCTTAATACCAAAAAAAAAAAAAAAAATTTCTCGAAACCCGGCAACTCAATAAATATTATCAGAAAGAGAGAATTCGTTTATAGTTAGAATTTGGTATGATGATAGTTTATGAACGCCACACGATATACTCAAAAGAATCACAAGATTATAAACTCCATGTGATGCGATTTGAAAAACAACTAATAGCATCAAATCACAAACTATCAATTTGTATAAAATCTTTAGGTATTTACTATTTTCAAATAGAAAGTAAAGATGGATATAAAAAAACTATTTTTTAAAGGATGTAACAAAAAGAGTGGGTGGTTATGTCTCCTATGTATGAGGTGGGCATATTAGGATAGTTTTTGAGATTTTTAATTTGATGAAATAGATGGGAGTGCACTTTAATTTGATTTTACAGATATGCATAATATGTTGGAACATTATCTCTGCGATAACAACACGCTTAGTGTTTAGATCGCTTATTTATTATAGAACACAATTATTTAGGTCTTCACTCTTTTCAGATAAAAAATAAAGAGGGATATATGTTAGAAAATTATCTTCGCCACAACAATGTTTAGATCACTTATTTATTATAGAACACAAATATTTAATAAAATATCGTGATTTTTTTGAAATAAAATTATTATTTTCAAGGTCTCTATTTCTATACAATACAGTATTAGTTTAACGTAAATTATGGATGCCCTCTAAACAGATGAGCAGTCTGCTTCACGTACTAATTTAAAGAAAAAATGTTTAATCTTATGTTCTGATATAAATTCGCAGTGTTGTAGAAAAATGAACGTTTTGGTATGTTAGAGTTATATTTATTTAGTTTTTGTCATAGAATACTGGAATAGAATAAAAATTCAGAATTACAAGATGTACTTACTGTACATAAGCGAGGTGGTAATTTATAATAAGTTCCGGACAGATTAACCTAGTTTACTATTGGGTTATCCATTGGACATGATTTCTATTAATAATTACAGTACGAGCTTTTATTATCGGTTAAATACGAACAAAATATACGAAGAGAGAATTTTCTACGTGATTTTTGAAGTTATAATTATTGGAATGGATAGAAGTCGAAGACACTGTAGTAGAGAATAGGGAATCGATCCGTAATCCGACCATCTGAATTGATCCTTAAATATAGATAAATTTAAATATCCAGATCAGAGATTTTTATTCGGATTTGTCAAAGAACTTAAATAACGGACATAAGGGTGTTCTCAAAGCTAGCTTTATATCTAATCTGACACGGATTCAATCCGGATTTAATAGAATCTGGATGGCCTGTCAAAGATAGGATCGAATCCCTAGTAGAGAATAGCATTTATATGATAATTTACATGAAATATAACTTCTTGATACTTATTCTTTCAGCAAAAATATGGGCATTCTTGTAAAGTAACTCATGATCCCGCCAGATACATATTTTTATAAAATTTTCCAGGTGAAATTTTCTATATATTATTTAACTCTAAATGGAAAATATAAATTTTATATTGACCAGTATCCAAAAAAAAAGAAGATTTTCAGCAATTTGAATAGTGACAAAAAGCCGGATTGCTAATAATTAATATCATTAATTGATATTCTTATTTTAAATTTATTTAACGTTAACTTAGTGTATATTGTAAATGAATCATTTACATTTATTGTTTAATATTAACAGTCAAATAATAGCAGATAGCGTGTATCGATATCGATATTCGTGAATGATTATTATGATTATTATCTCGCCTTCCAATTTCAGAATTAATAATTTGTCGATCACCCAGATTACTATAAATTGATCCGAAAATCGCGAACCCTAACGCTAAATATGTTAATCTTACAAATGAATCGATTAAACTCTTGCAAGCATTTCAGGAATAGTGAAAAGTTTTTACACGCGTTTATTTATTCAAGAAATATTTACTATCTTTCTTTTAATGTCAAAAGAAGATTAACTTCAATTTTATTACAATTTACTAATGACCATATATCATCAAATTCTTGTGATCTTAAATCGCGGTCACCATTGATTATATCTCGTTCAAAAACAAAATTTACATTATCCTTGAATGATTTACCAAAATCTGCAACGATTCCTACAAATATTGATAATTTAAAAAAAGGCCCTGAGTGGGACAGTACTATTGGAAAAGTTGTTAGGCAAGCCCAAATTAATTATCCAAATTGTGTCATATTAACACGTGTTGGCCAATTCTGGGAGGTAATCCATTTTTACAGTATTTTATATGCAATTATGAGCTTAAGTAATAATTTTTTTTTTCTTTTATTAAGTTATACTTTGAACAAGCTAAAGAGATTGCTCCACTTTTGGATATAAAGTTAACAAGAAAAAAATTCGGTCAAGAATATTTTGCATTTGCTGGTTTTCCTACTCAACATTTAGATAGGTATCTAGCTACATTGGTTAATGTTCATGGTCTTCCTGTAGCAATTTGTGAAGAATTTCTTAATGATGATGTAAATGAAGATAAATTAAAATTTAAACGTCGAATTACACGAATTATTACTCCTGGAACTCTAATTGATGAAAGTTTTTTACAACATGATCAAAATAATTTCTTACTTGCACTTTCTCTGGAAGAAAAGACGAATTCGGTTGGATTGGCATGGATCGATATAACAACTGGTTTATTTTTTATGCAAAAGTCAAACTTAGAGTCTATTTCTGGTGATTTGATGCGTATTCGTCCTAGCGAAATTGTTATATGTGATAATTATTCTAAGATGGAGAGTCATGATATTTGGCAGCATGTTGATAGTAGAAAATATATTATTTCCTATGAACCTTCAGATTCTTTTGATTCTAATCTGCATCAAAGCTGGATGTCCGATTCACAAATTGATTACGATGTTGATCAAATTTTTTCTTCTGATGAATTAAAAGCTAGTGCTGCGTTAATATCTTACATTAATAAAAATTTACTTGGACGTATATTAAAAATTCAACCACCAATAAATATTAATTTGAAAGATACAATGATTATTGATGCGACAACTTTAAGGTCATTGGAAATTACGATATCAATGAGAGATAACACAAAGAAAGGAAGTTTACTGCACGCTATTCGACGTACAAAGACAGCATCTGGTGCAAGGACTTTAGACCGGTGGTTATGTAAGTATTTTATATATTTATTCTTTCGACGTTATCATTTACACGGGTTAATAAATAAGAAAATTTTAGGTTTCCCAACGACATCAATAAATATAATAAATAATCGTTTAAACCTTGTTGAATATTTTTGTAAAAATACACATCTTACGAGTGATATTCGCCAAATTTTGGAAAACTGCGATGATACACAAAGGACATCACAAAAAATTTCTTTTACTTTTTATAATCCTGATGATTTCTTAAAACTAAAACGTACTATAGAATCAATGCTCATTATAAAAAATCGTTTGCAATCAGAACTTTATGTTACTCCTAATGATAGTATGAAAACACTTATTGAACGTATACAACCACAAAATGATCTTATAAACATTATATCTGAAGCTATTGACGAAGATATGTTAAATAAAATGAAAGAGACTCGACAGTACAATTCTGATGGAAGTATCATTTCTGTGGTTGACACCGGTACTGAAGACACTGATGTTGAAGATGTAGAAAATGTTGACTTTGATACCAACTTTACTAATTTTGAGGAGAAATGTAATGATGAGCCAGCAACGAAAAAAAAAATTACTAAAAAACGCAAGAAAGTGAAACAAAATTCAGAAATCTCTACATTTGAAGAAGATTTTGCTTCAATATTAAAGAATGATAATTGGGTTATCAAAAAAGAGTAAGAACTACGTGATTATTGTTTTATTGAAATGGGTTGGTTTAATTATTCGATTCGAACAATCAGCTTTTCTCCGAGTTTATTGAAATTGCACGAACAACTTGAAAAAAAATATCGAGATATGATTGAACTTAGAAATCGCTGGATAGATAAATTAAGTAATAAATATTTTTTATTCAATAATCAATTTATTGTTTTTTTGAATGAATATTTATTTTATTGTTTGCATTTTTAGATGGTTCGGTAGAACTTCGATCACATCCAAGCTATGGATTCATTGTTGCCATCAAGAAAGTTCGGAATAATAAGGACGTCGAACGCATACTAAATGCAACCCGTATTCATCACTTTAAGCACAGAAAGTGGTTCATTATCCAGGTATTTATGTAAATCAACAAATGCTACATTTTTACGATTTTGCTTTTAAATTAATTTGTTCATAAGAAATGGACACATCTTGGTGGACAAATCGAAGATATTAAAATAAAGATACGAGAAGAAGAAACGAAAGTCTTACAATTAATTCAGAAAAAGGTAATTAATTATATTTATTGAATCTTGCCTACTTTTTTTTTTTTTTTTGATTACCGATACGTTTTTTAATTGTTACTCGACTAAGATTGTAGAAGAATGGTATTTGACTGTACAAAATTCACGAGTAGTTGATGAATTGGACATAGCGAGTTCACTTGCTGTTTTAGCACGAGAACAGAATTTTGTGCGGCCTATCCTAAATTATGGGTACGCATTTAGCATTATTGGCTTTATAGTTTTTAAAAACCTACATTTAACATAGTTTTATTCTCGTAGCTATTCTCATAAAATTGTGGGCGGTCGTCATCCTGTAGTAGAAGCAGGACTCCAAACAAAAGGACGTCAATTTGTAAAGAATGATTGTTATGTTGGTGATAAAAAGCGATTACTTATACTAACGGGGTAATTTTATATTCAGCATTTAATAAATTCCGAAATAGCGGGCATTACCGAATTAAACTTATTACGAGATTTGCAGTATGCCATTTTAATCACAAATTATTTTGTTGATTATAAACAGACCGAATATGGGTGGAAAGAGTACGTACTTGCGTCAAAACGCCATTATTTCGATTTTGGCACAAATAGGATCTTTCGTTCCAGCTGATTACGCGGAAATTGGCATAGTTGATCAAATATTAAGTAGAGTATGTGAAAATATAAAATAATCATATTTCATAAAGTTGATTAATTTATTTTATTTTCTATCCAAGGTTGGTGCTTCGGATAATTTATATCAAGACCAATCAACATTTATGGTTGAAATGATTGAAACTGCACATATTCTAAGGAATGCAACACAAAGATCTTTTGTAAGTATATACGACTACTTTCACTACTTTTGTATATTTTTTTAATTTATTGATTTTGGTTCAACTTTTTGCAAAGGTCATTATGGATGAAATTGGTCGTGGAACAGCTACTTTAGATGGAATTGCAATTTCATTTGCAACATTATATCAATTACATTATATAAACCGTTGTAGAACATTGTTTGCTACTCATTTCCATGAACTGCCAAACCTAATGGTAAACTTTGAGAATGCCGCGTGTTATTGTACTGATATTCAAGAAGATGAGGTAATTTTTTCCCTTAATATGTAAAGCTTTAAGCGTCAATTAATAAGATTTGTATATATTTTCTTTGATTTTCAAGGATGGAAGTTTTTATTACCTTCATCGAATAAAGGAGGGTGTAAATCGAAATTCTGCGGCGTTGAAGGCAGCACAACTTGCAGGTATAGTTTAATCAAATTCTTCTATTTAAACACAAGAATTTTTCTTAATTGCTATATTTATGTTCTTATTTATAGGGGTTCCGCCGTCAGTATTATTGGTTGCTAAAAATACCTTAAAATATTTACAAGAACATTCAAAACCCATTAATTTGGATTCATATTTTCAATCTGAAATCGAAAAGTCTATTCATAGTGAATTAACAAAAGTTTAATTTTCTTACATGTTGTAAATAATTGACATTCACCATTCAAGATTTTGTATTTCTGATTAAAATATGCTATGGTCTAGTCTTGTTATAAAAAGTTTTAGAAAATTCATAGTGTTTAATTGAATATTAAAACATTCAATTTTATTAATTTTATTTTAAATTTTTGTGTAAGTCCCTTCTGGAAAGTAATAGCGGATGACTTTTAGTCAAAGTTTATACTCTTAGCTAGCAAATTTGCCTGTTGACCTAACGTTAAAGCTATTTAAAATTTTTAAATCAAAATTTTTAAATATTAATTTTATTAAGACCAGTACCGTCGACAGTTCCTAAAGATTTTTAAATACAACCTTTAAATTTAGCAATTATTATCATATAATACCTTTCATTCATGATAGTTTAATTAGTTCGACTTATAATGTTCGCCTGTGAATATTTCCAATGCTAGTGTTACGATTAGAGATGTGCCTTTGCGTGAGATGCTGATATTGTCTTCGCGCGATTAAATTATATGATGTTATTCTCGCGAAGCAGCTTTGCAAAGGCATATCGACATTAAACACCAATCAATTCTTAACACTTGTCATAACCTCGATTTTACTCACACATAGGAGTTTTGATATATACAGTAAAGGTATATTTTATAAATTTTCTTTAGTCTAGGCTTTTCTTAAATCTTAACTTTTAAAATAATTGGTTCAAAGATTCTATTTATATATAAGATTTGTTGTTACTATACCTTATGTATATATGTGTATGCACTAATAAAAGAGACTTTGAAATCAACACTAAATAAAAAATATATTTCTTATACTAGTTTAATTGGTAATACTGTAATACTAAATAAATGCTTAATTTTTATAAAGCTGTTACCAGAATGCTATATTTTAAAATATATATTAAAAAACTTCTAAAATTTTGTATAATTTAAATTAGAAAATTTATTAATTTATACTCAATACAAATTTTTTTAAAAAAAATTAATCAAATTAAATTAAAATACTGTAGATTAAAGATAGAAATTAGAGTTAGAAATAGTTTATACCAAAATTTTTTTTATTAAAACTTAAAAAGTAGGTTTATAAATAAAATTTTAAGTCATTAATGTACCCATGCTTTATATACTACATATAAAAAAACTTATTTAAATACTAGTTTTTAATATAGTTTATATAAAAAATAATAACTTTTATTATTGTCTTGAGTAATAAATAAAACACTTTAAATATTGATTTACACTAATTTAAACTATTTACTCTAACTTTAACGTTAATTTAGACTAGTTAAAATCTGAAACAAAATTGTATCTAAAACACAATAAGTACGTATACATCATATTTAAAAATTTTACAAAAAGGAAAGGCTATGCTATCGGACAACAGCGACGCGATTTCGTATCGGAAGAAATAAACCATTTTTTATAAAACACTGTATATAGTATAATTATATACTTTTATTTCTAATATTTGATTTAAAAAGTTAGATTATCTTAATATACTATATAACCAAAAATATCTCTTAGATGCAGGTGCGCCATTTTGTGTAATTTGATTGGCTTATTCATTATATCAAAATCGCTAATAAGTGCAATACCATTGATATCAGTTTTGGGCCAACAGTAACGAAAAAAAAAATAGCGTGGGGATAATTTTATTACCTTGATCTAACCATAACGATAATTCTAACGAGTTTGCATGTAACACTACTCCGCTTTAGACGTTCTAAAAAGGTTGATTTTTTTTTGCAATCGTTATCGGGTATCGGGTAGACCAAATTTAGTTTTCATGTTACAGATTACAATCATACTAGCATAAAATAAGTAGCAGCGAAGAATTTTTTTTTTTTGATACGTAATCGTTCAAAAAAAATTCCGTAATTAATATAGTTTGGAACTAGTGACTTCTTTCTTTACGTTGATTTTATTTATGTACGTACTTATGAAGTTTAGTACATAAGACACAAATATAGTTACGTATGTGCGTACGCACCGTTTATTACGCAACATGCAGACTTTTTTGATCGCGAGATAGCTTCAAGATGCCTTTGAAACTCTGCAGGGAGATTCCATCTTAATTTTATTTTGAATATTCAAGTTTCTATTTTAGTGCCTATAAATGACGTTTAATTAATTTGGAAAATTTAAGAATTAAACTGATTCGCATGCGATACGACTAAATGCAGTTTTTTAATCACTTGTAAAAGGATTACTAACGCTAATAATAATAATAATAATTACGTATTATTATTATTATTTATTATTATTATTATTATTACGTATTATTACTATTATTATTATTATTAATTATATAATTATATTATTATTTATTATTTATCCTTTGTAATAAAAATTCTTTGATAATTTTGTTAATTAAATTTTGATTTCTTTGAATACTTAAAAATTTAAAAAAAAAGATTAAAGATCACAAATTTTAATATTTAGCAAGCATCACACAAAAATGATTAAAGAACAATGGGTATTTTTCAAGAGATCGTGCATATCACATATCGATATCTCACCGGGTTGTTGAGGCGTCACACTTAAAAGTGGAAATTTTCCCCTTTAAATTTATTTCTTTTATTGGTTACTAAGCTTCTAATTTGTCCAAAAGTATATAACTCATTGTTTCATTCTTGTTTGTTTGTTATTGTCGCTATTGTTTATTCGCCTACAAGACCTTAACATTAAGTTAACGTTGATAGGAACATTTTTGTTTCGGGCTGAAATTCACATGATATGTAAACGATATGTAAACGATGTTACGTAATGTAATAAATTTATCGTATTATAATGCCACAGTTAGTAACGCCTTTCTCATGATCAACATTCAATTTCACTAAATCAAGACTAGTTTAAATTAATCAATAAGAAAACGGAAAACAATAGGTTAAACTCGACTCCGTTCTCTTTCCTTCGCTCTTTTCTATCCTTTTTACTTTTGTTTTTTAAAAGAAAAGTATGGCATTAGATTTAGAAAAACTTCTGTTGCGAGATATTGGTCAGTTATTTCAAGACGCCGATGATTATAATGTTCAAATTCTTGTTGGACAAGCCCCAAACATTCGAATTTTTAAAGCTCACTCCGTGATCTTGAGAGCTCGATCGTTTTATTTTCGAGCTGCTTTATCAGTGAATTGGGCTAGAACTGATCCTAGTAACGCCATGATTACTTTGAAGAAACCAAACATTTCTCCAATTGTTTTTGAACTTATTTTGAAGTAAGTTTTGTTTATAATATATATGATTTTAAAAAAGATTAAAGATGCATTTTTATATAATTTATTATATATATAATATCAATTTTTTACTTTATAAGTGATCTAAATTTAAATGAAAATTTTTTTTAATTATTAAATGCGTTTTTTTTTCTTTTTTTTTTTTTTTTTTTTTTTTTTTTTAGGTATATTTATACTGGTAGCATTCCACTAGATGAAATGAATGTTAGAATGAATTATACGTTACTTCTTGTTGCTGCCGATGAACTTGCTCTCATAGACCTGATAGATCATATTCAAGCTCATATCATCAAAAATGAACAGGAATTGCTGCGTACAAATCTTATCGAATTTCTTCAAGTATCTTCTCGACATGATGCTTGCAGTCTTTTACAAGCTCATTGTGAAGATATCATTTCCCGAAATCCTTCTGAATTTTTCAAGTTAGATACTTTTTCGGTTTTGGATAAACATGTTTTGATAAATTTTCTCAAAAAAGATATCTTTAACATGGAGGAAATCGAAATTTGGGAAAATGTAGTTAAATGGGGAATTTCTCAAAATTCTCATCTTGGCGACGATTCATCTAATTGGACACCTCAAGATTTTGATTCTTTAAGAAAAACTGTACAAGATTGTATTCCTCACATTAGATTTTTCGATATCTCGGGACCGGACTATTATAACAAAGTCAGACCATTTAAGAAAATTTTACCAAAAGAATTAAAAGCGGATCTTCAACAATGGTATATTGGTCAAGAAGCTCCTTATAGAGCGAGAATGATTCCTCCTAGAATTAAACCATTCGTATCAACAATTATTGGAAATGGACATATCGGACAATTGGCTGCGTGGATTGACAATAAACAAGAACCATATCTCTCAAAAAATCCTTACGAATTCAAGTTGTTAATGCTTGGTAGTCGTGATGGATTATATAACGTTAGGGAATTTCAACGTCGATGTGGAAAAAAAGGTCCAACAATTATTGTCATCAAAATAAAAAATTCTAATCGCATCATCGGTGGATACAATCCAATCGAATGGTGTTCTTCTGAGGGATACTTATCATCACGAGACAGTTTCATATTTTCTTTCGACAATAATAAGAATACGACAAATTGTATCCTTTCTCGTGTCGAAAATCCGGATTACGCCATTTTTAATTCCGATAATAATTATATTGGTTTTGGTAGCGATTTGGAATGGTTCGGTGGAACTTGTGAGAGATATAATTATCAAAGAAAAATTCTTAATCAAATTGAGTTCACTATGGAAAATTATGAAGTGTTCCAAGTTAAAAAAAAGCATAACTATTAATTAATCCTTTGTTTAGAAAAAATATAGAATCAATCACATGCATTTTTATCACACCATTATCACATCAAGTTTTTTTTAATATCATGAACAAGTTAGTAACAACAATATAAAGTCTAATAGTTTGGATTATGAACGGTGCATTGTATATATGGAAAAACAGTATGGTTTTATATGGCTACACACACACCTTTGTAATATAGATTTCATTATTCAATCCGATATAGTAAATTTTGGATTTTTATGATTAATAATCATGTTTTCCTTTTTTTTTTTCTTTTGTAATATATAGATTTCTTCTTAATTCAAATAGTTCTAAATTTTATTTAGCAAATTTTGAATTATGATTTTTTTTTTTCTTTTTTTTTTTTTCCTGTAATATAAAATTTTTTCTCCTCTAAAGGGTGGCAAGTTTTGTAAATATGATACTCTTTTATAAAGAGAATATGAAAAATCCTTATGATTCTTCTTTCTGTATAAAGATAGATTATTACTCTTTGTCGAAATCAAAAAAAAAAAAAAAACACACACATACATATATAAACTTAATAAAAATTTAAAAACACTACTAAAGAAGGTTGTCTAAATTTAAGCAATAAGCGTACTTTGAATTTTTAAATTTAAATGTTACATTAAACTCTTGTAGTTATCTTTAATTATAACGATATTACTGTATAAATGCGTTGATAACTACGCTTTATTGATATAACACAGACGTACTGTATAATTAATAATAATACAATTAAAATAACTAGTTTATTAAATTATAAATTATAAGCAGCTAATAAATATATTACGTTAAATATTATTATAAAAAAGCATTGCTTTAATAAAAAAAAAAAAAAAAAATTATTATTACAGATCTCGAAATAAATAATCATTTGTCATTGTTTTCCAATTTATTTTCCAACACTTCTTTTAATGACATATTAGCAGAACCTCTAGGTTTTGGTTTTGATTGTGAAATATCAGGTTTCCATCCAATCTAAAAACAGTTAATTGAACAGTTAATTGAAAAGTTAATTGATATTAATATAAAAGCTTCGAATTTACATTATGTGCAATTCACAATCATGTGTAACTTACCAAGTATACTATCTGCACATATGACGCAAATTCATTAGATCAACTTTATAAATTAGCCAAAAAAAAATAAAAAATTGCGGAAATAAAAAAAAAATTTCCTTACCTGAAAAGTTGCAGGAATGGTGCCGTCCGGTTTGCCGTGAAGTTCTGAAATTTTAATTATTAAATAAACAAATAATAGTAATAATTAATTATTGTTTAAATAAACAAATAATAATAATGATAATTGTATAGATATATATTAAATAATATCTTACCTTTATAAATTGCAGCAGCAGCCAAAAGCGTATCTCTTTTCAAAAATGGTCGCCTATAATGATATCTTTTAATATGGATAACTAGTAAAGTTTTTTTAAAAAAATTGTGGTTTCAAACCTTGCTAATACAGCGTTACTTTCACCCATTGCCTTTAAATCTGCTATTAACTCAAACATTGAAGGATAATTTACTATAATATCATCAACGTCTATCGTCGTTAAAGCAAATCCTGAACGCGAAAGTAAACTTCCAACATCGCGAAAATCTATTTAAAAAAAGACTTTTAATGAATAAGAAAAAAAATTCAATATATTCAATAGATAGATTAAGACTTACCTACCATCGGGGAAACACGAGGTGAAACACCATGTTCCCGCTCCAATTCTGCCAACTGCATGGATGTTCTGTATAAATAAAAAATAATAATAAGTAAATAAAACCGAAAGAAATTTCATTGGAATGATTATGCATATTTGTATACCTAAGTTCAAATAAAGTGTCACCACCAAACATTGAAGCTAGAAATAAACCATCAGGCTTCAAAGACCTCTGGATTTGAATCATTGTGCCTGCCGCAAACAGATTACAAGGAAAGTTAATAAACTACGTGGGTAACACAGAGAGCATTTACATCTAGGAATGTTACCGGCTCTATTCATTATCGGTTTTTATAATAGTTAAATATACAAGCCGGTACAAGCCGAAGCTATTAACATCCCTATCTACATCAAAGTGAATTAAGCACCTGGCAAATCATTTACCCAATGTAACGAAAGATTACTTATTACAGCTTCCAAAGAATTCTCTTCAAATGGAAGTAATTCCTCATCTACAACAATTCGTTCAACTTCAACTAATAAGATGATAGAATTTTTAAAATTGAAAATTTCAGGATTAAAGAAAAAAGATCTAAACTAAATATAAGTTTATTACCATCATATTTTATATTTTTATCTCTTTCTAACATTTTCTCTAAAATAAAAAAGGAAATTTAATGTCAAATAAGTTTAGAAATTAATAATGTCTTTATACAAACCTGACATATCACACATCACTAATTTGTTCGATATATCACGATCCATATGTTTCACTATATGCCCACATCCACAACCTAAATCAACAATTGTATCATATTTTCGCTTAATATCCTACAAAAAATCAACCATTATAATGTAGCCATCTTTCCAAATAAGAATAAGAAATGTTTTCATAATTTCATCATCTAATAAATCTAATAAATTAAATCACCAACAATCTATCAACAAGTCTATGTGCAACTTCATCTTTAAGATAATCAACTTGTTTACTAGTTTCAATGTCTAAAGCAGCTCGATCTCTTTGTAATTTTTTTGCTTTACGATCAAAAACTATAAATGCAGAAGTTTGTGACTTTTGTGAAGAGACATAATTTCTTGAAAAAAGGTTTGAATTAATAAATCGGTAAAACAATATAGATCGCATTTAAAATTGACAAAAAAAAAATTTTACGTGATATTTATAAGTGGTACAAGGTCGGGCAACATCTTGATTTGCCAAATTAGGACATTAATCGGATTTTTTTGTTTTGTAATAATTTAAGAGCATTTAAAAGCGTCCAATTATCTTTAGTAACCAAAATAGCGTTAGTGATATTGCAAACAACAAAAAGCAAAAACCAAATCGGATGAATGATTTATTGTATATTTGTTCTACAAACAAATATACAATAAAAAAAATAATACCTATCATTGAATTTAGTTAAGTGGTTCATTAACTATGAGAAATTTTCCTGTTGTGATTTTTCAATTTACACTCGATATTTACACTCGATACTGAGTAACGAGAAATATTACCATCAACTCCCTATTCTACAATTGTTGTTAATAATTGAATTACCTTCAATAAAAAAAATGTTACATAGCTAGACCCAATTATTGAATTACGATAATCTAAAATTGCAAAAGGGGTTACTTTATTTTATTTATGAGTATTTTTTAGGAGTATTTTTGTGAGTATTTATAAAAAATCATAACCTTTTTAAAAACAATGCAAAAATAATATATTCACTAAATGGGAAATTAATTTTAATTTAAAATATACTTTGAAACAAAGATAATACCATAAACATTAATTACCACGAGCTTGTTTAAAATACTTCTTCATATAATTGCTTTTAAGGAATCTTTGAGGTTTAATATCGGGTTAAAATATCATTATCTTTACTTAATAGGAAAAATTTCTATCCGTTAAAATACCCAAACGAACGCCCAGTATAACAACAAGAGTACAAAATAGGGAGCTGTTTTAGATACGAACGCATGTGCTCAATACAGCATAAGTATAAATAGCGATAGGAGACAAAATATCTGGGCAATTAATCTAAAATAGGTTAGACTAAAGAGTATGTTATTAATGAAAAACAAGAGTAAGGATAAGTTGGTCACGTGTACATCTGAAACCTTAGAATGATTGTTCTTTAAAAGCTAAAAATTTACGGTGCAACAAAAATTTTGTATAACTCGTATTCATTTAGGTAGTTATTGGGTGACATTTACATTAATTGTTGGATTAAAAAGCACACATTAGATTGTACAATGATTGGTGATTCAAATGTTCACAGTTCGTTTATGCAAAGAAAATTTTTCTGCATGCTGTTAAAAAAAAATAAATAATTAATAAATATAGATCCACATGAATAATCCATTTTATATATTCTTTCCTTTCTTTGAATATTGTGATGTATTTAAAATCTAAATTTTCTTAAAAAAAAAAGCTCGGGATAATTTTTTTTTTTATATCTTTATACATGATAAGATGAATTTTGAAGAATCAACGATATCTGATATAATAGATACAGATACAGGAGAAATAGAAGATTCTTTCACCAAAAAATTTCCCGCAAACTGTATTGAACATTCATTAACATTTGACAATTTATCTATAAATACGTTAAATTTAACAGAATCAACAGATTCAGTATTCAGTCTACATATTCATACGATTAACAAAATAATACGATTTTTCAATATAATGCTTATGGTAATACTTATACTACTCATGTCAATGTTAATCATGAGAGATTATTCATTTTTCGAAGCTGATCATAGTAGTCAATTTTATTTACCGCTCTCATTAATAATTCAAATAATATTAACTTTACTGGAATTTATCTCAATATGTAATACTTTAATTCGGTGTAAAAGTGGAATAAGAACAATTGTACTATGCGCGATTGGATTTTTGACATATTTCATATTAGCAGTTATGAATATATTGATGATACCACCGGATAAATTTTGTTACCTTCAAAATCATATGCAAAGTTGTAATTTATTTTCGGCAATTTTGGTAATTACTTGGATTCCTGTGGTTTGTTATTTATTGGCAATGGGACTCAATACTACTGAGTGGTGGGAGAGAAAATGCGTTCCTTTCAGAAGAGAATAGAACAATTTTTTTTTTTGGTTTAAATTATTTATTCACATACTGTAATTTTGTATATGTAAAAATTAATGCGCATATATGCATTTTGTTTCTTTGTTAATACCCCATACGTACGTGTGTACTTAAATTTTGCATTTTTATAAGTATTTTATATTCACATAGGCATTGCATTTTTAATTATTGTCACATCTCAATTCTGGGCGTGCATGAGAAGTCTGCATGCATGTTAGCAGATATTTTAGTAATCAAGAAAGTTTGAAAAACCCCCAAAAATAACCACACGAAATAGTAAAAAAAAAACACACACATGTTAATAAATATATATCATTTTAATTACTGTATAAATATTATTAAAGTTTTTTTTTTTTTTTGATAAAGTTCAAAACCCAATATTTTGGATCAATATTTCGAAACAGTCCAGATCTTTCGAAGCATCACACTAAAATAACTAAATCCGTAACGTTCGTGTATTTATATTTATATTTTTATTAAATTTATTACAGTAATTGCATTATATTAATTGTGATTTTTTTTTAATAACGTCCTTTTAATCACGTGAAAGCCCAAAAAATATACTTATTCTTTGATATATAAAATACAAAAATAAGTTAAAATTGATAAATAGACAAAGAAAAGAAAAGCATTTATAAACTACCAAAATTACAATTTAATTGATACGTTGATATATAAAAGAAGATGGTATGGGTATGGTGACATTCAATTTCTGTGTAAAAGCCCTGAATAAAATAAAAATTGTATAATTAATAATTAATAATTAATTAAAATTAACCATATACTTTATTTATTAAAAGAAAAAATAATACCATTTGGTTGGTAAGAATTAGAATTATTTTGTTGCCTGTTCCTACGAACGTTATCTGTTTGAGAATAACTCGTTGAATTCTGGATTAAAGTTCCATCTACATCAATAAGTGCAGATACTGGTTGCCGTCTTTGAGGTCGAGTCATATGTTGACCGTAGTCATCTTCATAATAAAATGCGTTAAACCTAACAAGTCCTCCTAAAGGTTCTACTGATCGTCGCATTGAATGCTCTTGTTGAAATTCTATCTCAATTTCTTCATCATCTCGTGTAGTCGTTGACAGGAAATCTGGCAATTGTGATTGTGGTGTATCACTTGAATATGAATCAAATTCTTCAGGATTTTGACCGGTGAGATCGGGGCTATCATAATAGTTAAACCATGAATCATGACTAACACCTGTAGCAGATGTAATTATTGGATCATTTTCATGCAATCGATATGGTGGTGATTCAGATTCAGGTATTATTTGTAAATATTGAGATAAAGGTATTTGTTGTCTCGATTCTTCACGAATATAATAAGGAATCAATTGCCTATCTCGATTTTCAACTTCTTCTTCTTGTTGAGATGAGGATAATTCTTCTTCTATTTGTGCTAGAGTCGTTTTTCGTTGTTGATTTCGACGTCTAGATTTTTGGGAAGATGCACCTCGCTGTCTGCGTGTCGATTGTCTCCTTTGAGTAGAATTTAAAGTTATACGATTGTTATTTCTATTTTGCGAGCGACGTCGGTTCGGTTCAGGATGATAACTAGCAGGAGGCAATGGATCAATTTTTATTTGATGTTGTGCAGCATATGCTCGAGTTACAGGACGTGTACTTCTTGTTGTTTTAGACATGGTGTATCAGTGTAAAAAGATGAGAAGAAATGAAAATTAAAAAAAAAAAAAAAAATTCTTGCAAGCCTTCTCTACCTTCATTTATTAAAGAACGACGTATTGTAATATTGTATACATTAGTAGATATATAGCTGCAGGTTATAGTATTGTAAGTGTATTGTATTAACCTATTTCGCCAGCACTAATTTAGAAGTAAAGTAAAACTATATTCTGCAATTAAACAAATTTAGAAGTAAAAAATAGATAAGACTAATTTAGAATAGAATGTGAAAAAAGGAGCGGCTTGATGTGGCTAATAAGCCGATAAATTTTCCAATAATTACAAGTTATACGATTAAACCGTTCGCAACCTTAAATATAAAAATTTCAGAGATGTGAATTAATGCTTATTAGTTATTAATTTTTATATGTGATTTCTAGATTAATAATTGAGATAATTTTTATATTTTTGGGTCATGATAATTAACCGTTATCATTGCTTTTATTATTATGCTATATTTGTGAAATTATTAATTAATAAATTGGTAAATGAAAACACTGACATCATTCAAATTTTTTCTGATTTTCGATTTATTTTACAAGTCATGTTTATAGAAATAGACAATCTATTTATTTTGATTTGTAACATGACTATAACATTTGATTACAATGGTAAAGATCAAAAAATATTATACCATTTTGAAATAATGAAAATTAGCTATAAAGTGAATGAATTTATCACTATTAGATCCCGAATTGCTTTTCCAATTTTGTTAGATTGTAACATTGCTGTATTTACATTACAAAAAAATTATGTTTCGACTGTTTTTACTATGGAATTCAATTTTTTTTTTTTTGTATCTTTCAGGAATTGGCAAGCATCAAATTAGCAAAGATTAAGATATCTACTGCTTAACATGACCACAATATCGTTCAATGTCCGTCGTAAGATTCTACCAATTCTACTAACCAACAAGTTAAATTACATTTTCACGTTTGTCTGGAAAACCTCAGCATTTTAAGCTATACTATCGCTTTTGCATTCTAGACAGAACTATATTATTTGAAATTACGTGTAAATTAGGGTTGATTGTAAGAAAATAAATTTATTTGATTAGCAATACCAACCCTATTTTAAGAGTTTATATACGTACAAGTATTAAATCATAATTATCTTTGGTTCGATTCTAATTCACGTAACTGGTTCTAATTTTAATATTACCACCCTATGCATTTGGCAGATTCTACCGATATATCAATCTAAAATTTTTGGGAATTGATACTTTTTTTTAGTAATCATTTAGAAATAAAAAAAAAGGATAACAATCAACAAATTATTTATAGAAGAAGCCTGTCAGATATTAGTTCTACGTAGCGATGAGATTTTCTAATTTTTTAATTGTTAACAGCAAATTGTTAAATTAATAATCTCGATCATTATATCAAGATCACGGGGATTATAATTACTAATTCATTTCTATCGATTAATAATTGAATTATCTAAAATGCATAGAAGATATTGGTAGAAAGGTATAATTATTGATGCAGTAGAATCGTTCTAATGACGTTATGGCTTAAGCCGTAACTAGCTAAAGCTTATGTCGTAACGATTCTACCGCATGTATAATCAGATACGTATAATCAGTAATCAATCATACGTAATATTCAAGTTAAAATATATATGGAAATTTTATGTACAGTCAGACCTCCTTAAATGCATAATCTATGAAAAACCTCTCTAAATGTATGGTTTACTCGGCCCCAACTTATATAATATATATATACTTAGATTTTTATTTCCCAGAATGCAATGCAGGCCCCTCCCCTCGGCTATGCACTTAGAGAGGGTTAACTTTATTCAAAATCTGCTAAAGAATAATTTTTAAATAATCAAATCTAATGTATTAGTATTAGAGTGATGATACATTCAATGATTTTTATGAAAATGTGCAATATTAATATTTATAATAAAAATCTTATATGTGTTGTAAATGGGAAACAGAATTTAAGTGGATTCGGAATTTATATAAAAAACCCCCATTTCGGGGTTGATTTTATCATATGTACACCCGTACCCTAACCCTAACCCTAATTTAACTAGGAAATTCCGATTAAATTCCATTCCATATATTTTTGTATTGGATAATTCAATTATTAGTTGCTTAGATATTATTGTTAAATTAATTTTTTTAATTTTTAATATATAGTTAACAATTCATAATTAATAACTAGAAATTCCCATCGCTAGTTCTACGGAAATGACAGAACCTACGCGACTAATACTAACTGCCATATCGATATGTAACTCGTGATTACTGGAAAATTTATCGGTTTATTAGCCACATCAGCCCCGTTACTTTTGTTCTATCCTAAATTAGTTTAATCGCAGAATATATTTTTACTTTACTTCTAAATTAGTATTAGGAACTAGGTTACTACAATACGAATCTGCAGCCAAACTTTCTATTTACGTCGGCCCATTATGACTTCTTTGTCATTAAAATACGGCGATGAAATTAAAGATTATGTGCCCATCAATGTACTTTTGTATTGTTTTCTGTACGTACTTACATATATATCTGGCACTCAACAATCGCTTAGAAATAGCCCCTATTTATTAATTTCGTCATGTACATGTGTTAAATCTTTATTTATTTCCTTTAAAGATCATTATGAAGTGTGTTACGTTATTTTTACGACAGCGTTGTAGGCGAAATTGTATTGTTCAGCTGCGTCTAAAATTCATTGTTGTGATTATCGTTTTTTTTTGATTTTTTTTTGATTTATGAATGCTTTGTATTTGCTCAGTTTAAAACAATACTTTTATGCTATAAGTTTATTGATAATTTTTCTTCATTGACCCGAGAAACAATAATTCAACAACCGAAATTAATTGTCTATAGATACCAAATGCATAGCCTAGTGTACAAATTTTTGTCTGAAGCGACAACGACTGAGTCATTATTTGTTATATTGTGTGAAGTACGTATGTCCGTCCGCTGAATGCATGGTAGATCATTCACATGATAAGGCATTACTTAGTTATATGGGCTGATCCCTTAACTTTTACAACTTGTATCTCGATGAGCTAACTTGATAGATTAATATTCAAAAGAAAGCCTAGATTCTTAAGCTTTCTTTTAATATCAATTCGTCAAAATTCATCGAGATATAAATTATAAAGTTAAGGGATTAATTTTTTTAAAAAATGTCAATCTGCTTGATTTCTATTGACGGCAGCCCATATATATTTAAAATTCCTTATGTTACGTGGTGGGTATAAGTACTATTTATTTCCCGCAACGGCGGGAATGAGAGGTGCTGTACATCCCCGGTCATCTGGGGCCCGAAAGGCCCACAGCAGGGTGGAGTTATTTCCCCGTAGCGGCGAAATAAGGGCATTATTCTTCGTTTTTATAGGATGTCATGACGGAGTTTTATGGCTCATAATCCTACTTAATTAATAAAAATTCGGGTTTTTTACTGATTAAAGTAGTGATTATAAGTCATAAAACCCCGTCATGCGATCATATAGAAACGTAGAATAACTATTACTAAAGCAGGATGTGATGCGATTATGAGATCAATAAATTTGAAATTATGATTTTTTAAACATAAAATTCATTAATATTCTATAAAATAACAAAGCATGTCTATATTATTCTAAATGTACGCCTAAAAATGATAATAGACTCTTGATATATAGTTAATTCCAAAACTAGTCCACATACCCTATATAATAAAATTTCTCTCGCTATACAGAGTGAATTTACTAGTAAAACAGCAAAAAATACCGTTCCTGATGGATCGTCGGCACCGTTCTTGATAGAGCCCCGAAGTCGATTTTCATGAGAATGCTAAAATCATGACCCGTGATTAGTAAATAAATTTATCTATATACTGTATTGATTCTTAAAATAATACAGTATCGTATCTACGCGCGAAATAACGCCCATTGGCGTTTATTTGAGACACGTAATTTGATGAAAGCTAATAATTGATTTAGCAAAAGAATTTTTAACAATAAAATTATGGTTAAATTAATTATTAGCTCCCTTTGAATTACGTGTATGAAAATAACGCCCATGGGACGTAATTTCGCGCAAATACGGTAAGGGTATTCGGATTAAAACTAAATGCAAATTATTTCCTGTTGTTTTTTCCTCGAGTTTTATGTTACGTGTTGATCTTTTAGTTGGGTTGCACAGCAATAATAGGTTGCCAAATTTTTATGACACAGCTTTATATTTCGATAATAGTGCAGCTTTTAAAACCCTATCAGGAACGGTACGTAAATCGATCTTTTTTTTTTTTTTCTTCCATCAGGAACGGTATTTTGAATAAAACACTCAAAATTATAATAAAACGAGACTTGCGTACTATATACTTTACTATTAATAATAGATATATTATTAGACTAATAAATTTATCTAACAAACCTATTTTAACCAAAAAAATAAAAATAAAAAATAAATAAAATTAATAGAGTAGGTTTGATTAATTTTATTAAATTATATATACGTAGTACACGCACGATTTTATAATTTTACTATATACAGTTAGGGTTGGGCGTTTTGTGTAAGTTATCAAAATTTAATGTAAGTTACATTTTAGTTTATGTAAGTTACAATGTAAGG